GCATTGAAAGATTCAAAGCCCGTCTGGTGGCAAAAGGTTACACACAGCAGGAGGGAATAGACTATCTTGACATTTTTTCCCCTGTTGCTAAACTGACCACGGTTAGGTTACTTATTGTTCTAGCTGCTTCAAACAATTGGTTCCTACATCAACTGGATGTAGACAATGCTTTCCTACACGGAGATCTCAATGAAGAGGTGTACATGGAGCCACCTCCAGGTTTGATTGACCACAATAAAGGGCATGTTTACAAGTTAACAAAATCCTTATATGGCTTGAAGCAAGCCAGTAGGCAGTGGTTTGAAAAATTGTCTTCCTTCCTACTATCTGTCAACTATACTCAATCTAAGTTTGATCACTCCTTGTTCACTAGAACAACCCCTACAAGTTTTACTGCTCTACTTGTTTATGTGGATGACATTGTGTTAACAGGAAACTCTATGATGGAGATCAACTGCATAAAGGAACTCCTACACAAGAAATTCCGAATAAAGAACCTTGGAGAACTCAAATACTTCCTAGGATTGGAGGTGGCCAGGTCAAAAAGAGGTATTCATCTATGTTAAAGGAAGTATGCTTTGGACATACTGGAGGAGACAGGGATGTTGGGATGTAAACCTTCCTCTACTCCTTTCCTAAGCGACACAACCTCATTGTACAAAATGGACAGCTACCTAGATGATTCAGGTCCATATAGAAGACTAATAGGGAAGTTACTCTATCTTACCAATACAAGACCTGATTTGTGTTTTTCAGTTAATTTACATAGTCAGTTCATGCAATCACCCACTGACTATCATTACCGTGTCATTCAGCACATTCTTAGGTACATTAAATCCAAGCCCTCTGAAGGGCTATTTTTCGCTGCTGACTCTCCTATGCAATTAAAAGCTTTTAGTGACTCTGACTGGGCCACTTGTCCCAACACTAAAAGATCCACAACAGGATTCTGTATCTTCCTGGGATCCTCTCTCATTTCCAGGAAATCTAAGAAGCAGAAAACTGTTTCCAGATCATCCACAGAAGCTGACTACAGAGCACTTGCTGCCACTGTATGTAAGATACAGTGGCTCTGCTATCTCCTACAGGACCTTCAAATTGAAGAGTCAGGGATCTCTGCCTTGTACTGTGACAACAAGTCTGGAAGACACATAGCCCACAACCAGAGCTTTCACGAACTCACCAAGCATATTGAGCTCGATTGCCATGTTGTTCGTGAGAAAGTTCAAGAACATGTCCTCAACCTCCTTCCCGTGCGATCTGACGAACAGTTTGCCGACATCTTTACCAAATTCCCTCATCGCGTCAGATTCAAGTCTATTGTCCCCAAGCTTGGACTGGTGACCATACACCATCCAGCTTGAGGGGAGGCTATTGAGAATCAAATAGATTCTTTACTGTAAAATGGACCGAACTCCACTATTCTTTTAGGTCTTAGTTTCTTATTTTATTTTAACCGTTTTCAGTTTACCGGAGCTATATAAATAGAGCTCCTCTTTATGTTTTCAAATATATCAACAATAATACAATAAACAAAATACAGTTTATTGAAAGGAGAAAAGGTTTCGTTTTACTTACTCTTCTCGTCGCCCTCTTCATTTTTCTCTTCTTCACCATAGTCGTCCGATGTCTCTAAGGCGTCGGACTGCCTCGCCGTTGCCTGCTCCCTCAGTCGCCTGGAAGAACTCTCGGGATGCTCCGTTCTCTCTCCTCTCACTCGTAGGAGCGTTTGCCACGTTTGCCTACTTCTTTCACTCAGATGACTTTACTCATATCACAGGCCATGATGCATTGGGCTGCTCCTTCGTCCACACGCTTTTGGGCCTGGTTTTAATAGGAGTATTTTGAGAAATTTGATTCAGAAATTTTTCTTGAAGCTGTGTTGATGATAACCTCCATGATTTGTATAGTAAACAAGTGGAAGTCAAAAGGGTGGTGCCAAAAGAAGAAAATACTGGTATTGATAAAGAAAGATCTATCCTTGGAGAAGGAACCACTTTGGAATGTTTTCCTCTTTATTGTGCCTGTGCATCAAACTCCTATTATTGGTGTCCTATGATTAGAGTTTATCTTCTTTGTTATATACCTATTGTACCTATTATTGAGCCATGTCCACAACATTTTGGTTATTATTTTCCAACTTCTTCCTATGGAAGAAATGGCTGATAGGTAGAAGAAATTGTGTTAGATGCAGACTTATGAATATTTTTATTGATATTTTTAATGTTAGGTTAATGCAAATATTAGTTCTGATTATTTTAATTTTTTTCATAACCTTTTATTTCTTTTTTAAGGACATTAATAATCACATAAAAAAGTAGTTAAAGAAAATTTAAAAAATAATCAGAGGCTAAAGCACACACATGCACAATAATGCACGATAAGTAGTATAAACAACACTTCTTTTACAAAAAAACAAATAACAAATAACCTTTGTTTGTAAAACGGACTGAGTGTGCTTCTATTAAACAGGATAATTCAGTCCAATTATTTCCTATCAATCTAGTTAGAGTGTTTGATCTACCCTTGAAACATCTCATCCTCCACTTTCAAAAATTCTATTTTTAACCTTTTCAAAATAAAAATATTGATATGTTAAAAATTCTATTTTTAACATATCAATATGCACCTCCGACCTTTTCAAAAGATTTATCTTTTAATTTTAATAAAAATATTTTTATTTTCTTTTTTTAAAGACACCTTAATAAATATCTTTTTATTTTTTTTCTTTTTTACTAAATTAATAATAATTTAATTTAATTTAAAATTTATATATTATTTAATATAATATATATTTTAATAATTATCAAAATATGATTTATATTATAATAATAGTTATATTAAAAAATAAAAATAAATAATTAAAATAAAATAATTAAAACAAAAATAACAATAAAAATAAAAAATAAAAAAGTGAAATAATAATATTAATATAAAATTTGATTTGATGTGTTAAAATATATTAAAATATTAAAATAAATTAAACAATTATTAAATTTTAAATAGAAACAAAAATTGTAAATACACTAACGGTTTTGTTTTTTATTTAAAATTTAATAAATATTTAATTTAATTAAAAATAATAATTTTATATATTATATTTTATAATTTCATAATTATTAAAATATGATTTATATTTTTATAATAATTTTATTAAAAAGGTAAAAGTAAAAATAACTAAAATAAAAGTAATAATAATAAAAAAGAAAATAGTGTTTAAAATGACATTAAAAATATTTAAATATATTATATTATATTAAAATATTAAATTAAATTAAATAGATATTAAAGTTTAAATAATAAAAAATTAAATTTTGTTAATCAAAATCCGATAATATATTATACGGATAAGGAAATCCCATAATATATTATACGGATATGTATGGATATTTGATTAAAAATTTTCTTAAATTTTTTATTTATTTAATTTTAATAATTATTTAGTTTAATTTTATATTTTAATATAATTTAATATATTTAAATATATTGAATGTGATCTTAAATATTTTTTTATTTTTATTATTATTTGAATTATTTTTTTTATTTTTTAATAAAACTATTATAAAGTATAAATCATATTTTAATAATTATTAAAATATAAAAGTATAATAAATAATATTATAATTTTCATTTAAATTAAATATTTATTAAATTTTAAATAAAAAAACAAAACCGTTAGTATATTTAATTTTTTTTTCTATTTAAAATTTAGTAATTGTTTAATTTATTTTAATATTTTAATATATTTTAACATATGAAATCAAATTTTATATTATTATTATTTCATTTTTTACTTATTATTATTATTTTTATTTTTATTTTAATTTTTTAATATAACTATTATTATAATATAAATCATGATAATTATTAAAATATAAAATTATATTAAATAATATTTTTATTTTAAATTAAATTATTATTAAAGTGGTGTATAGTGGTTTTGGTAAAAAAGAGAAGAAAGTAAAAAATATTTATTAAGGTGCCTTTAATAAGAAAAAGAAGAAAATAAAAATATAAAGAAGAAAATAAAAATATTTTTATTAAAGTTAAGAAGTAAATCTTTTAAAAAGGTTGGAAGTGTAGATTAAGATGTGATAAGGTTAAAAATAAAATTTTTAAATATATAGAATGATATGTTGGAGGTATAGAATGAGACACTCGTCTAATTATAAAAATAGAAATCTGTTTGTGTTTTTTATAATCAAAACATTCTATGTTACTACACTACTTTTATTTTTTTATTTATCTGTTTTTTATAATCAAAGTTAAGACATCACCTGTTGCAATAATAAAATATAAAATGATAAATTGAGTAAGTCTCACTCTAATAAAATGAGAAAAAAAGAATGAAAGAAAAAAATGATGGAAAAAAATAAAAATTACTAAAGATATTAATGGGTAGAGTAACCTATAATTTGACCTTAACAAATAATAAGAACAATTAATAGAAGTATAAAATGATCCATTAATTATAGATATAGTTAATATTTTTCAAAGTTATTATCTAACACTATTGAACCATTTTTAAATTAACTTTATTTCTAAACATTTTTTTATAAATATTAAATTAAATGTAAAAGATAAACTTTTTAATAAACTGGTGCATTTAAAATTTTAAAAAGAAATATTATACATATATTATATTAACATGTGCATTGCAATATTAATAAAAAAATATTTACATGTGTCATAATTTAATGATAAGTAAAAAAATAAATAAAATTATATAAGAAGTCTGAATCCTATCAATACTTTTAAGATGACTTTGAAATAAATATTTACCACAAAATTATGACTTAAATTTAATACAAAAGTATTGCATTAGAGAATTATGTTTTCAACATAAAAACAAGATTTCTTTTTGTGTGAATATGTTTAAAGAAAAGTTTAACTGCACATGTGCTTAGTTAGAGTGACAATGAATATAGTAACACTTTCTTATGAAAATCACTTGTCTTTCAAAATTTTACATAAGTAATGGTCAGAAATTTGTTCAAAATGAAATCATGTTGTGTGGATGAGAAAGTAGAATTGCTTTGGTTCTGGTTGGTGGTATCCAAGCTCCTCGAGGAACCATGTTTTCAAAGTGTTCTTCTCTCTCATCCGCATCCAAATTTATCACTGTAACAAACCCTCTCCAGTTCTCAAATCCTGCAACAAAATTCATCTCTAGAAGAAGCTCCATAACAAGACCCTTGCATCTAACACTCGCCAAAGACTCAGATTCAGCCTCCACTTCCACTTCTTCTCCTCCTTCCTCGTTTGCCAATGACCCGCCTGTTTTCGTGACTGGTGAGGATGTTCCATTGGAGGGTGTCATCCAGTTCGAGAAACCCAACTCTTCTCCTCAGTTTGAAAAATGGGGGTAATTTATTTCTTTTCATAAAGTTATCAGTTTTCTTCATAAAGTTGAAACCTTGTTGAGAAATTTTAAGTGGGTCATCATGCATGTGCTGTAGGCGTGTGGCTCTGCTAGCTGGTGCAGACGTCTTAGCTTTGTTTTTGTTTGCTACAATTGGAAGATATAGTCATGGACTTTCTGTTTTGGACCTTGAGACTCTTCGCACTGCTGACCCGTTCATAGCAGGTATGTTTGTTTGTTTTGTATGTAATTGTGGAATTTGTGTTTTGGAGAGTTTGAGGTTTGAAAATGTTTGGTGATCTAATATTTTGCAGGGTGGTTTTTGGGTGCTTACTTCCTTGGAGGTTTCGGAGAAGATGGGCGTGGGATGAATGGTCTCTCCAAGGGTGTCATTGCTACTGCTAAGTCATGGGCGGTTGGGATCCCTGTGAGTTGAATGTTTTTGTTCTTGTGTGAAGCTTGTTGGTTCATTTGCAATCTTGATAGATTTTTAGCAACTAAATTTTGGATTTTACATTGAAAAGTTTAATATAACATGTTCACATTGTATACTTGAAGGGAAGCTTGAATCCATGTCCACAATCTTGAGCTAACCTTGGTTCAATATTTGTAGTCTTGGTTTAAACCCTAGTAATAAAAGGAACAAGTGAAAACTATTCTTAGTAAGGTGTTGGAAGTCCGACATTGACTAGAGATAAAACCAATTCAAAGTATATAACTGAATACAAATCTCACTTTATAAACCGATTTTGTGGAGTTGAGTTAAGTTTAAGGTTCATTTCTTAACATGGTATCAAAGTCAGATCAGCTGTATCAAAGTGAGAGTCTAAACCATCATAGGTTAAAATATATTTATGTCTAAATAACAATATTAATTCTTATAATCAATATTTTTATAAAACCAAAACTAATCCAATACTTAAATTACATTATTCCACCTAAATATGACAACTCTTTTAACAATTTGTGACCTTGGCATGAGCAATGACTGTATCAAGCTTCTTGGTTGGCATTTTTGCTTGTGTCATATGTAATTGGAACACTTGAAATGAAAAGATTTACAACTGACAAACTGATTTGTAATGTAAGTGAATCGAGTTGAATCAGTAAAGTATTAGCTAAAGATGATTGTAGCTCTTTCATCTGAAGTAAAACTATAATTAAAGGTTTTTTACCCACAAAACAGATACCATTTATCTCTTCTTGACTCCTTGGCAGATAGGAATAGCTATAAGGGCAGCAGGATCAGGTCATGTACCAAATTATAGTTTTGTATTTGTGACTCTGGGAAGCACTGCTGTTTTACTTATTACATTCAGAGCATTGCTGTATACTGTTCTTCCTGTTGACAACAGCAAAAAGAGTGATGACTACCGCCGAGGTAGTCCCTTTGAACTCTTTGAGGTAAACAAGTTTTTCATCTTCTGTTAGATCTTCTGGATATTATATTTGTAATGGTATGAAACAACAGGTTATTCATTCATGGAAACTGCTTAAAAGAAAGTCTTCTCATACAAAATTGCATTTATATAAACATGAACTTGTGTTACATCTTTGCTACAGCTGCTGTATCTATGAATTTGTGTGTTACTACCATACAAAATAAACTGAATCAATGGGGAAATTTTGTAGTAAAGGCTGAAGTGTGTATTGCGAATGCTCTTGTTTGCTGTAGCCAGAATAAAGTTGTAACTGAGAACAAAATGGAAGTGTAACTTTTGATCTGCACTGCAAAAATTCTAATCCAAATTACCTGGTGGTTGCCAAAACTATTAATGAAGTTCTTTTTTCTTATAATGAAAATTGAGATTTACACAGCCTATGATTTCTTGTGTTAGTGTCTACTTCAGCACCAAAAGTTCTAAATACTTTGAACTAATTGTGCATTGGATGCTGAATCCTGAACAATATTTGTTCTTTACTTTTGTAGCTGCTCACATCATTAGTTCGGCGGTGGTAGCAATGTTGTTCAAGGCAGCATATGTGTACGCATCAGAACATTAGTTTCCATCAGTAATCTCCATGTTAAAGGACATTATTAACTATTAAGGAATTTGAATAATCTCTGGTCTGGTCCATTTGCACTATATGCTGTCACGTTCTGAGATCTCCCAGGTTTTCTTAATAAGTTACCATTCATGTTCAATGATGATAAAGTAGAGGTTGTTGTAACTAAATTCATGTAAGAGATTGTCACTATCTTCAACAATATCATGTAATTTTATCTATATAAATTACTTTAACACCAATTTAAACCTAGAATTTTAATACACTTGGATACAATTTTTTTAATGCAATTACCATGGGTGATACTAATTCTTAACATATTGCACTGTTTATGATACTAATTCTGAATATGTTATTTATGGTTACCAGCCCTTTTGTAATTAAATAATAAATTTAGTCCCTTTGGTGTATTTAAATTCTGAGACTTTAAGACTTAAAGTTTGAAAGGAAGATGAATTTAATTTGACACCAGTGTTTAGGAATTAAATATATGTTTGGCCTTAATTTTAAACAAGGGTAACAAGTTTAACTTAGATAATAATGTGGGAATCAGCTGTTTTTAAACTTAAACATAAGTTTTCTGAACATTAGAAAATGTCTCTATTATAAAACATTTAATGGTTATTTTTCTAAAATAATATAGAAGTAATTGATCTTATAAGAAACTATTTGTAATAACCCTATATTGTAGCAAGAATTTTCCAGTTTCTAAAGATTGTAACAAACACCTAACATAAAATAATGATTATTTGGTATACAAACATGACCATAATTAAATGTTACCTTCTTATGCATTTATATGAAGATATATGAACATAAATTTTGGATCAAATATAACTTTTGAGCAATTAAGTATCAATTACTCCTTATTGATACCTATGAAAATTTTAGTAAGGATCTTTTCTTTTAATCTCAATTTTTTAACCAACTTGGATTGACATTAACAATAAATGATGTTAGATTATTTAATCAAAGTTGTTGAGATTGGATTCCTAACTTTTGACAATGACATTGGTATATAGTGGTCAAACTTCATATGTGACAAATTCAACTCAAGCCTATTTAACCTAAAACTAAACAAGTAGGTTTATCTTTATTGTAAAAACTTATGTTCCTAGGTTTATCTTTACTCTATTTATTCATTATTCTATCACATTTTTAGGAATATTAGTTGTCGATAAGAATACTTAATAATTAAAAAAAAAACAATATTTTGTGTAAGATAATTTTAAACCTGGACTTTATTTAAAAGGATTTAACATAGTTTTACGCAAATAAAAGATTTGTAATAAAATATAATTTAATCAGTGTATAATGAATGAAAGGGAAAATCATTGTTTTGAATAATTCACTCACTGTTCCAAAGATAACAATGTAATAATATATTTAATTTTTAAGGTAGGAGACACTCTAAATAGGTGTTTTTCTTTTGGGCCACAGATCATTGTAGGTTTGTTTTTGGAGTGTTTCATCCTACACCTCCAACATCTCATCCTGCACCTCCAAAAATTCCATTTTTAACCTTCTGACATATGCACCTCCAACTTTTCAAAAAATTTTATTTTTTAATAAATATATTTTTATTTTCTTCTCTCTCTTATTAAAGACACTTTAATAAATACATTTTTATTTTTTCCTCTTTCTTATTAAAGTTCCTCTGCACCATTTTAATAATAATCTAATTTAATTTAAAATTTAAATATTATTTAATATAATTTTATATTTAATAATTATTAAAATATGATTTATATCATAATAATAGTTATATTAAATATATAAAAATCAAATAACTAAAATAAAAGTAATAATGATAAAA